TCGACACGCCTACGTATTTCCTGAACGCCCTTGAATAGCGGCAGCATTCGTCTCGCCGACCTCTTCGCAACATTCCACAAACCCAACCACCTCTCATCACGGCTAACTCCTGCCCCTTCCTTTCCCAACGAACTGCCGTCCAACCACGCACCCATCTGCTCCTTACACTCAACTCAAATTACCCATACGCAACGCTTCTCTCCCAACCACACCATCACCCTCACACTTCTACTAACCACCAACCATCCACTGCACCCTCACAAACACAACTGACGCCTCAACTACGCACTTGCTGCACGCCCATAAACAATGCCTACACTCCCTTCGTCGAGCTCTCCGCAACATTCCACAAACCCAACCACCTCTCATCACGCCTAACTCCTGCCCCTTCCTTTCCCAACGAACCTCCGTCCAACCACGCACCCATCTGCTCCTTCCATCCAACTCAAATTACCCATACGCAACGCTTCTCTCCCAACCACACCATCACGCTCGACCTTCTGCTAACCACAAACCATCCACTCCACCCTCACCAACACGACTCTCGACACGCCTACGTACTTCCTGAACGCCCTTGAATAGCGGCAGCATTCGTCTCGCCGACCTCTTCGCAACATTCCACAAACCCAACCACCTCTCATCACGGCTAACTCCTGCCCCCTCCTTTCCCAACGAATTGCCGTCCAACCACGCACCCATCTGCTCCTTCCACCCAACTCAAATTACCCATACGCAACGCTTCTCTCCCAACCACACCATCACACTCAACCTTCTGCTAACCACAAACCATCCACTCCACCCTCACCAACACAAATCTCGACACGCCTACGTATTTCCTGAACGCCCTTGAATAGCGGCAGCATTCGTCTCGCCGACCTCTTCGCAACATTCCACAAACCCAACCACCTCTCATCACGCCTAACTCCTGCCCCCTCCTTTCCCAACGAATTGCCGTCCAACCACGCACCCATCTGCTCCTTCCACCCAACTCAAATTACCCATACGCAACGCTTCTCTCCCAACCGCACCATCACACTCACACGTCTACTAACCACCAACCATCCACTCCACCCTCACAAACACAGCTGACGCCTCAACTACGCACTTGCTGCACGCCCATAAACAATGCCTACACTCCCTTCGTCGAGCTCTCCGCAACATTCCACAAACCCAACCACCTCTCATCACGCCTAACTCCTGCCCCTTCCTTTCCCAACGAACTGCCGTCCAACCACGCACCCATCTGCTCCTTCCACCCAACTCAAATTACCCATACGCAACGCTTCTCTCCCAACCACACCATCACACTCAACCTTCTGCTAACCACAAACCATCCACTCCACCCTCACCAACACAACTCTCGACACGCCTACGTACTTCCTGAACGCCCTATAATAGACCAGCATTCGTCTCGCCGACCTCTTCGCAACATTCCACAAACCCAACCACCTCTCATCACGCCTAACTCCTGCCCCTTCCTTTCCCAACGAACTGCCGTCCAACCACGCACCCATCTGCTCCTTACACTCAACTCAAATTACCCATACGCAACGCTTCTCTCCCAACCACACCATCACACTCACACGTCTACTAACCACCAACCATCCACTCCACCCTCACAAACATAGCTGACGCCTCAACTACGCACTTGCTGCACGCCCATAAACAATGCCTACACTCCCTTCGTCGAGCTCTCCGCAACATTCCACAAACCCAACCACCTCTCATCACGCCTAACTCCTGCCCCTTCCTTTCCCAACGAACCTCCGTCCAACCACGCACCCATCTGCTCCTTACACCCAACTCAAATTACCCATACGCAACGCTTCTCTCCCAACCACACCATCACACTCAACCTTCTGCTAACCACAAACCATCCACTCCACCCTCACAAACACAACTCTCGCCTCAATGACGCACTTCCTGAACGCCCTAAAATAGAGCAGCATTCGTCTCGGCGACCGCTTCGCAACATTCCACAAACCCAACCACCTCTCATCACGCCTAACTCCTGCCCCTTCCTTTCCCAACGAACTGCCGTCCAACCACGCACCCATCTGCTCCTTCCACCCAACTCAAATTACCCATACGCAACGCTTCTCTCCCAACCACACCATCACACTCAACCTTCTGCTAACCACAAACCATCCACTCCACCCTCACCAACACAACTCTCGCCTCAATTACGCACTTCCTGAACGCCCTAAATAGAGCAGCATTCGTCTCGCCGACCTCTTCGCAACATTCCGCGAACTCAACCACCTCTCATCACGCCTAACTCCTGCTCCTTCCTTTCCCAACGAACTGCCGTCCAACCACGCACCCATCTGCTCCTTCCACCCAACTCAAATTACCCATACACAACGCTTCTCTCCCAACCACACCATCACACTCACACTTCTACTAACCACCAACCATCCACTGCACCCTCACAAACACAGCTGACGCCTCAACTACGCACTTGCTGCACGCCCATAAACAATGCCTACACTCCCTTCGTCGAGCTCTCCGCAACATTACACAAACCCAACCACCTCTCATCACG